CGTATAACTCTTACCTTCCATTCTACACAAATTTCTATGAAAATGAGTTATAGAAAAATTAAATCGGTGGAATTTGAGAGGTTTGATTCTTGCCCAATAGTAATAAAAAGGTTTTCATAAGTTACATTAGAGCTTTATGATTGGTTTAGAGCTAAATGATAGAGCTTTGAACTTGAAGGCTCAATTTTAGCCTTTAGAGAGAGAAAGTTAGGGCAAAAATCTATCTTGAGTGAAATAAGACCTGTTGAGATCATGTAAAGTAGTAATTAAATAATTATAGACTTAGAATAGATAAATGGAAAAGAGTTTATGGATGAATATAGCCCTAAGTAGCAAAAATGAGTTTTTGATTAAAATAGACCAATTAACTAAAATGTGCCAAATGTATTCAAATTGGCATATTGGATATGTGAGTAGAGAAAGGAAGCTTGTGATAAGCTTGTGTGATAGTTGAAATCCACGGGGTAACCTTTCTAGTGATAAAAGGGTTGAGGTAATCGAATAACTTTTTTTGTTTGACTATTTATTGTAACTGTATGTTAGTATGCCATGTAATGCATGAACTAGTTTTGAATTAAATATATTTTGTGGCATTGAGTGATTGTGTGTGTAAAATGACTTTTGGTCAAAATGAGAATTGAAATTGTGTTTTGTAATATAAAGTGCTATATATATATATGTATGTATGTATGTATGTATAAGAAAGTGTAAATTGTAAAAAGGAAACCTTAAATAGTTTGAGAAAGCACGATTAGAGTGGTGGGAGTTCACCCGAGAGTATAAGAGATGATAAAAATTATATGGCAAGGTTTCCTTAATACCCTATTAAGGTGCGATATTGGAAACAATTCTCCTTATTGCCTTGAAAGGTGCTATGTTAAAGAAGATCTCCTGAGTGTCTATTAAGATACTGTATTAGAGATGAGAGACTCCTTAGTATCTTTGTGATATGGGTTAGATTCAATGACGCCCTATTGTGTGTACTGGGAGAAAACCATAGTCCGTATTATGTGTTAGAACATCTTTAGCCGGGTGACTCTAACACTGCGGGTGAGCTCAAGACTAATGAGAGTGTACATTAGTCTGAGATGTGCCTGTGGTTTCATGTCGGAGTGATTTAGAGGTTTGGTTGGTAGAGATCATGCTAGTATTTTATGTGATATAATGAAATATCTTGAGGTAACACGGAATCTTTTGGGATTGATGAAAAGACGAAAAATAAAATGTGATATGTGATGAAATACTACTTAATGAGGTTTTAATGGTATATTATATTTACTTTCATATTGTTGCATGTGATAGTCAATAGGAATAAGTTATTCTGTTACTGAGATTTTTATTTCACCCCCATGGTTACATGTTTATAGAATCAAGAAGTGATCAGGCTAATGGAAGAGAGTCTGAACCGGCTTGAGTTGAGAAGCCGTGTACTCTGAGGTTGTGTAATGAACTGAATTAAAAGATTGTATATATAAGTATATATGAGTTGCCATAGGTTGCATGCATGTATTGAATTGAGTTTTTATGAAATCAACCCCAATTATGTGTATATGTGTTGTTTAAGACAAAGGGGCTTTAATTTGAATATGTTTGTATTGCAATGGTCATATGTTGGTGAATCTTAGGCCAAAGGATAAATTATGAGGAAATGAGTAATTTAGGGGCTAAGATTGTATTGTGATTATGATTGGTGAATCTTAAGCCAAGGGATGAATTATAATGAAATGAGTAATTTGGATGCTAAGATTGTATTGTGGATATGATTTCATATGTATAAGTTGAGAAATAGCCGAGTAGGCTAAGTTATGCCAAGAAATGGCATAGTATGTTAAGTTAGTGAATTGTGAAAATTGGTCGTCGAATGGTTAAATTTCAATATTTAAGTATGATTGTGATTAATTGTGGTTAATCAGGTGTATTAGATCCTTTTGGACTTAATTCAAGGCCTAGTGTGGTCTAATAAGAATAAGGGATTGATTTGAGCGTTTGGATGCGCAAATTTTTTAGAAAAAGTGACTTTTGTACCCGGGTGTCTAAATTTTGATCAAACCATTAGATCGTGTCTAAATTTATCTCATTAGTTAGTATATAAGCTAAGCTTCATGTAGGCACTTGAATCACTCTGATCGAATGTCATACGAGAAATTAGCACCCACTAGAAGTTCGTCATTTTTGCTGTCAAAATGACAGTAGAAAAATGGACAGATGCGCCGCAGCGCATAGTGACACATGCCGCGGTGCACAACACAAATAGGGTGAGCGTGTGACTCTGTGTCACATGCCGCAGTGCACTGACCATCCGCCGCGATGCACGTACTAAGTTTTAGTTTTCTTTTTGAGTTAAATTGTATGCAATTGAGATAGCAATACTGGTGAGTTATGTCCACTATGTATTTGAGGAGTGCATGATTTATTTTTGTTGTATTTTTCTCTGATTGTGTTGTAAACTGATCAGTGTTATAAAATAAATCTTCAGCCGAAGGTTTTAAAAAAATAAAATTTATTATGAAGAATGATAAAAGGTAGTGATAACATCGTAATCTTCTTCTATATTAAGTGGATATAGGAGGAGGTTATAGTATTTGAGTCCATCACATGTGAATTCCAAATGAGTACATTCATTAACAAACAATTTAATTAAAAGGAGAGACTCCCCCAGCCAACTCCTTGGCCATTGCAACATCCTGTCCAAAACTATCATTTCCCTCCACAACATTTTGATCAATACCTAACTCTGAATGCTCCAAATCCATTTGATTAGACCTTATCCCATTCTCTAATCCCCTTTCATGACTCCCTTGACCACCTCTCAGCCCAATATCCAAAAAATTAGATTTGTCAACATTACCCAACTTAGTTTTGAAAGTTAGGCCTTTAGATTCAGATGGCCTAGTATCCAAATTAGCAAAAGAGTTGGAACAAAAGACATCAATCCCTCCGTTACTAGCCATGTGTCTTCCCTTTGTTGGTGCCACATTCTCTTTTCCTCTTCCTTTAACCTTTATTATGGCCTTTCTTTTAACTCCAATTGGGGCCGCTTAGATTTGGCATTTTTCAAATTCAATTCAATGCTAAATATACAAAATTCCTCCTTTGATTTTCCTTTATTATTTTATCTCCCATTATCTCCATGTCTAGCTAATCCTACACGCACTCTTGATTTAATCTCAGACTCCTTAACCCCTTCCTTGATTTTCATATCAAAATTTACAAATCTCTTAGCATTCATTTTATAATTTCTATTGCGAAAATCATGCCTAATCAACATATCAAGTGCAAATCCTTTCTTTGGCAACTCCAACATAACCTCATCGGTAACTACCTTTTCTTTCATCACCGAAATCGTATTGCCTTTGTCATGGTTAGTTTGATCATTCAATATTTTATTCTAATCCTTAGAAGGATTCACACTCAGAATATTAATCTTCTTAAGGCACACTTCTCGATGATGTCCATATTTTCTACAATGGAAACAAACTAGATGAAGACCTTCATAATGAATCTTGTAATCTTCGCCCTACCATGTAAAACATAGTAAAAGAGGTTGACTCAAATCAATTTCAACACAAACCCGAGCAAAGCCCCCTTTATTAGAAATTGAAGTTAACATGTCAAGCTTCAAAATAACACCTACCATATTTCCAATCCGACGCAAGCATTCCACATTATAAATTTCCATCGGGATATCCAAAATTCTAATCCACACAGTAATCTGATGCTATCTCTCAACCTTTTATAGATTCAAATTTGGTCTTCATTTTTGAACAAGTAAATAATGATCATCTACCATCCAAGGCCCTTCCTAGTAAGCATATTAGAAAAAGAAACAATGAAATAGCCATTGCTCAGTGACATAATTCGCATAGGTTCCTTATTTTTCCACATTTGAGTCAAGTGAGGTTGTAGAAAACACAAAGTAATGTTTCTACCCAGTAGTTTAATAATCAAAGAGTTTGTCCAAGGAAGACACCAAGCTTCATATTCCTTCTTAGTGGACTTTAGCTCAGGAATCTTTTGCTTCCTCAACTCTACCACCTCTTCCTTATAATCTGATCCGTTGGACCTCACTTTTAGTTCTTGCTCTTGAAGCTTAGCCAAATAATCCTTCCATCCATTCATAATATCGAAATAAGGTTCATTCTTTGTCAAGAAACCAACAGGGTTCAGACTTAACAATGAATCCTTATAAGAAATCATTCTTCTCTAACTATGATTCTCAACCTTTCCTCCTTGACTAATGAATAGCTCATCTCTTCCAACCTTCATACTTCAACCTCTAGGAACGCCCCTCGAATCACCGCCACTGCCTTCACCCTTCTTTGGTACACTGCTCTCACCACTCTTTTCGCCACTCATTATTGCCTCTTTTTAGCAAAGTCATTATTCTCTGTCATCATATTTTAGCGCAACAAAAACACTTTTAGATGTGGCAAAATTTCTCTTACACCATTTTGAACTACAATATAAGGTATTGATTATTATTTCATGGTTTTTGAAAAGAGTTAGTTGAAACTTCATTTTTTTTAAAAAAAAAATTCACATGTTTTCAATTATATCCTTATCAAATATCTTATAATACTACTTTGCTAATAATATTTAAATTTCAATGCATTATTTTTTCATAGAGTAATAGATGAAGTAAAGATATGTTTAAAAAATAATTATAAAAATTATCTAATATTTTATATTTTAATCAAATAAAGTTTATCAAAGATGTCTTACATTGCAATTCAGAAAAGTCAAGTGACAAGAAAAAATCATGACATATACATTGGCACTCACATGCGATCCAAAATGGATGTAAAACAAAACCTTCTCTCAATTCTCCGCTAAAATTCTCCGCACCAGTTCTCAATTTGATTGCTAGTTTGTTATGCTAGTTTTATAACCTATTAATAATAATTTATTAAATTATAGATATATATATATATATATATAAATTATTAATTAATAATTAATATTTTACGTTTTGAATTAAAGAGAGTGGCGGAGCGTAGCCGATAACAGTGTGGTGCAGAGTACGGTAGGAGTTATTGGCCAAGCTAAACGCTTCTATACGCGCGGCCAAGCTCGCTTCAGACAAAGCTTCTCTTTTTTGGATTTGCCATCTCTCCCTCTTCTCCCCGCGGAGGAGAGAGAGAGAGACTTTGAAGAGTCCATATTTTACGTGCGAGCAAAAATAGCATTCCCAAGCAACGAATAAATTCTCTTCTTCTGTCTTCTAGGGTTTGCGTTCCCGCCATTGTCGACCTTGCTCGCTGCCGCTCCTTCCCCCTGTTCTGCACTGGCATTGCTCTGAGATCATCTGTATTTCCCTATTTGATTTCAAATTTCGGATTTATTCCCCTTTTAATAGGATTCTGATTGGTCTATTGGTCTATCCTTTTTCTTTTGGTTTAAGGTGAAGTTCTGCTTTGTTACTGCGATGGATATTTTTTTTAAAATTTCCGATGCTTCGTTTTTGCAAATACGTGGTTTGTATTTCGGCGCTTTGCTGATTGGCTGGTATTTTTGATGAAATTGGTTGTTTAGATATAGGTGTTTTTGAAAGTGATGTGATTGTTGTAATGTGCAGATATACCATATCCTGCTCTCAATGGTATGCTCGTTTGGGAGTGGGAGAATGGCAGTCATTGCAAGGCTTCTGGCTGCTGGCAGGTTCTCCCAAACTAGGGCAGGTAGTTTCAGTGATGTTAACTGTTTTCTTAGGGTTGGAAGTTAGTTAAAACTGCCTTATAATTTTGAATGGAGGGAGTTTATTGTTTATCTGTCAAAGATCGGGCCTTAGAAAATTAGTTTATTTGATAATTATTTTGTTTGAATAATTAAATATTTGTCGAATATTATTCAAAACGTATGATAAGAATACGCCTTTTTTTAGAGGTCTAACCCCCTGAAGGCGTCTTTCATCTTTAACTACATTGATTGTATTCAGGCTTCAGTTGAGGGATAAAATGTACTTTCTCCTTTTTTTTCGTAAGCCTGTTGATTATGCTTAGCTTTGTATGCTTTCGCAATGTGTACTTAGTAAAGTAATAGAGAAACAGTTATTATTCTTTTTAACATCTGATCAACATTGTACTTCCTTGGAAATCTTTGGAAGAGGAGATTGGCCATCAGAAGTCAGCTGCTGAATACGTTTTCAGAGATCTGCGAGATGCAGATGAAGCAAATTTGCTTGATGAAGAAGGTGTCCACCTTCATTATACTCATCGTTTTAGTTTTGGCTTGATTTGATTACTGAATAAAGGCAATTTCTGTCAATGCATTGCTCAGACGTTTCTCTTTAAAATTGAATAAATGATTATATGACCATTTATTTTGTTGAAAATAGGCTTCTTCAATGCGCCATTGGTAGTTGTGGCTGCACTAGCTTGTTTTGTATATTCTATTTTGCTATCCTGCTTCTATTTTTGCCTTTGGTTAAATTTTTTATGAATAACACTTAAAACATGCATCACTTTGCCATTCTATTTTGTCTCCTTTTTGTTTATTTGAATTTTTGTGTATAACATGCAGACTTCTATAATGTTGGACAGCCCTGGTGATTAATTGTAGACTATCTCTTACTTTAACAAGATTTTATAACTCATGAGTATAGGAACTTCATTATTAAAAAAAAAATTAATTCACAATGTGAAATTAGAAGATACTGATGATAAAACCAATATTCTTAAATTAACCCACACAGATGTACATCCCCCTTTTGTGAGTCATAGAAGTACTATTGTCTTGGATTGGAAAGAAATTGTGGTGGACTTGTTTTAAGGAGCAAAAGTTTTCTAGGTGTCATCTCATACTTCAATACATCTGTTTGAATCTTAGTATAGTCTATTAGCCCTTTGTATCCCTATTTACAGAGCTACAGGAGCCCATTTATTATCATCCCTTCTTATGGCCTAGTGAAATCAAGAAACTGTAAAACTTGGTTTTCTGCACTGCTATAAAAAATGGTTATATATATATATATATATATTCTATATTTCACTTAGCTTACAGCTTTGCACCTGAAACTTTCTCACTAAATTGATACTGAACTCTCTTAGAAGAAATTTCACATCAACACTGATGCTTAGAGAAATAATAAATGGTCCCAAAGCTCAAATTTATGTGCAACAGGCATACCTTAAGAAATGCCTGTTTAATTTGTTACATTCATATTTGTCAAATAGTGATAGATATTTGAATTGGAGAGTGTATTTTTGAATTGCAAGTCATAGCATGCATTGAATCATAAGATTCTGCAACAATTAAAAAATAACTTCATGTATGAAATATGACATGTTTTAATCCTTAAGATATGCATGAAACACTCAAGATAGTAAATCTAACCAAAAAGATAAGAAAAATTCTTTAACATAGGTCATGGGTTAGCTTATTAGTCGTAAATTCGTAAGTAATTAATTCTTGAAATCATCTCAAGTAATATATTGATTTGCTTTTTTTTTTTTTAATTTCAAGATATAAGCCAACACTTAACAACATTACGGCAAGCCAAACCAACACCAACTCACTGTTTTGATGCAATTTTGAATTGTAAAATTGTGCTTCTGTGTATTGATTTGAATTGCTCATTTATGGTTAATTCAATCATCAATTCATTTCATTGCCTTTAAGATTCATTATGAATCTAAGGTTTGGATTGTGAATTGCTCTATGCTGATAACTTTGGTTATATTCTCAATAGCTCAAGGTACTGCCCTTCAATTCTTTCACATTGTCACTTTAGAACTTGAGAAGGAGGAACTAGTTATGTCCCTCAATCTGAACTCGTTGAATTAAAATATGGGATATTTATGCCTGTCTTTTGTTTCTCCTTTTTTTAGTTTTCAGCTTTTCACACTACTGCTTAGTGTATTTTCTATTGCAGATATGCATGTGTATGGTTTGAGACCTATGTCTGATCCCTTGCAGCTGGTAAGGTTTGCTTCTTGTTAACTTTTTTAAATCCACGCTAGTGGCATTAAATTTAGTTACTGGGAATAGAATGCATACACAAATGTTATTGGGAAACACCCCTGAAACAACTGTAGCTTAATGTATTCTAGTTACCTTAATTTACATATATTCAGTTTCGTGTTATGATTGTAGTGTCTGTCTTTTTTGTAAACTATTAAACAATGTATGACCCTAGCCACCTTGTACTATTGATAGTTGGAGTAAAGGATATGATAATCAAATCTGCATTTGTGTGCATGCACCATGTAGGGAATGGGGCAGAGTACTTACTGCATTCTTTAAGCTCTGTAAGTTGTCACTATTGTGTAAGCTCTTTGCTTTTGCATGTGATGCATTCTTTGATACCTTGTTATTCGAACTTTTTAGGTGAATACTCAATTCCTTTCTTAAATCATGTGATGCTTATTGCTTTGCAAGGGTCATAGCTGCTTTGACCTCTTGCTTGATTTTTATTCATTAGGAGTTTCTCTTGTATGCCACAAGAAGGGGGCTCCTGTTTCTGAAGTAGTTTTTGTTGGTCAACAGAAAAACAGTTTTTGATTTTGATGTCTGCCTCCTTAAATAGTGTCATACTCATCACATAGTCAGCCTCCTGCATGGTTCATTGGAAGCAATTTTTGCCTTTCATATCAACTTTTTTAAATTGTACAATTGCTTGACATATGTAAATATGTGTGTATGTTATTCACAAAAAAATGTGTGTGTTGACATTATTTCCTTGATAATAAAGTACTTTCACTTAAGATAATTGATTGTTTGTATAATTTTGAAGGTATGTTGCAATGCTTGCAAGAAGCCCATCCAGGCCAGCCAATATGCTGCTCATGCAGGTAGGACTGGACTTTATTTATCTTTGGCCCTTTGCATGAGGTCTGAGAATTCACAATTTGTTAGCATGTGGCATTAATGCTCATTTGTTTTCCATAAAAAATTCTGTGCATCTATTTCTATTAGTTTCATATTTTGTATAGGTCTGCATATGATTCTGGCTATTTATAACCGGCTTCTTATTTTTGGGCTCCTTTTGTATGTGAAAAGGGTATGAAATCACTAATATTGGTTTTTACTTTCTTTGTCTCTCTTTGCTGCCGACTCTTCAGAACTTTGTAGGTCATTAAAGTATGCAGAACAAACCATTTTGGAGGTTGATGGCAGCATGGGCTATCGAAAGCCCCCCAAGAAAAGAAAAGAAAAAGTTATCATCAACTTCTTGTGCTAGTATCCACATGATAATAATCGAGTTAACTATTCAGCTGCAAATACTGTTTAGCGCTAAGTTTCATCCCTGATTTTATCTGCTGAAAGTGAAAGTAAATTAATGATTTATTTACCTTTGAATATTCTATGTAATTATTGCGTCCTTTGAAAATTATTTTAGGTGTACCTTCAACTTAATTTCATTAAAGCAGTCTTCTCTAGTTGTTCTAATTACATGCTAATCACAGTTAGTTGTAATATAAGTATTTGTACCTCCTAACCTCTCGAAGATCAAGCTCCAGCAGTTGGGGAGGAGGGAAGGGCTGAGGCTGTGGATTCTATTGATGCCGCTGTGCCACCATCCCATATGAATGATCAAATTAGAGTCACTTGCTATTCCAACGATGGTAAAGGTTAAAACATTTTTTCCTGTGTTACTCTTTCTGTTCTCATCCTTCATACATGTCATTCCTAGCCCCCCTTTTTGCTGATGGTTAACCCAGTTTGCTGCATGTATCAAGTTTTGCTTGGACAAATCAATTTGTTTATTAGTTTCTGGAAAAACAATGACATCCAGGCCAGATAAACATGATTGCTGCAATGCTTATAACTTGTATTTGATTTAATCACTCTGAACCTTTCCTCCTCCAACAACCAAATAAATTTTAGCTATGCCTTGAACATGATTTTTGTAATGGAAAAATTAACTTTCTTCCCTTTGAATCCTCTTGCTGTTGGAAAAGTATATCGCTGGGAAGTGTGGCTTATTGATTTATTTCAAAATTGATTAAAGAATGGGAACAAAAATATATTTTTTCACAAATAATGCGATGTAGGTAGTTGACATTAAACATCCTTAGGTTGAGATGGGTGATGGGTCGCATATATAGTTTTAAGCTTATTTTCTTGGCAATTTGGTCGGGTATATCTAACAGGTTTGTTTTGAAGGAGTAATGTTGAGTTTCTGCTAAAGATTTCAGTTATGCTGTAAAGCTGATGTGCTAATTAATTTGAAAGCTTCATCATAATACCAATTTCCTTAAATACTCATGTAGATGCAGCATCTATGATGGATGGTACGGGATTTAAACTTGGAAATAGAGATCACCCAGCTTCTGTAATGCAACCTCCAACAAAACGTCGTAAATTGTATGCTTTCTTAGTTCTCAAGACATTTTTAATTGTTGAAGTCGGATCAATTTGACATCATTATTGCCTTGTGCCTAGAAAATGTGTTGCTCAATAAATCTGTTCTTTTTCAGTGTCTTCGGGGGAAAAGATTATAATCAATAGAAAACGTTTTCAAACACCTTGTTTCATGTTGAATATCTCCCACTCATCTCCCTCCTCTCAAAAAGTAGTTCTTCATCAAGTAGAAAACCCGTTGCAGCCTAGCAAGAAGTTTTAAATCAACAATGAAATATTTTGGCGTCGGGCTCAATAAAAAGCTTGTGATTCAATCTTTATGAAATCAAGACCAGCTATGATGCATATGATATGCTTGGAATGCTATATTATTCCAAACTGCTGGCGGGAAAGCCCTGTAGATGACTGAGTTAAATTTTAAGACACTGTTCACTCAACCTATCTTACTCATTATGCAGTTTTTACGCTTTATATATATATATATATATATTTAAATTTACATTAGGAGGGTTTGAACCTTGGATTACTCATTTTTACCACCTGAGCTGCTTTCAAGCATCTTTGTTTGTCAAAGATTGTGCTCATTCTTTCTCTGCAGGATTAGTGGAGTACATTCACCTCTACCAGAAAGTCCTGCAACAGAATCTAGAATAACAAGACCAGCTAGCTTTGCAAATAAAAATACTTGCAAAGGTGCGTGTATGTCTGTTGAAGTTGTTTGTTACATCTGAAGTCAGAACTTATGGGGATGAGTGTTTTCTTGTACATTCTGGTCAATATTTTATCATTAACAAGGGAGATAATTATAATTTTGATCATAAAAAAATATACATAGTTTTAATTCTGGGTCCGTGCCTAATATCATCCCAAACTGGCTCATATGAATGTTTTAATTTGCTTCTACTTGGTTGTTCTTTACATTGTATTTGTACTGGATGTGAAGCATACTGGGGGCATGAAAGGGTCGACTAGAAGATAGAAATTTGAGAAGGGACCAAAATGAGAAAGCAGCCCTTCCCTGGCACTAGTGTCATATTTTTTATTTAGCACAGGCAAACAGGCATCAATTGTTCTATGTCTAAAGAAAATCATTCCATTGCTTTTTCATTCTACTTGATTCTTCTTTTAACGGAAAAAGTAACTACTGAAACTGATCTTTTCTTATCTACACCTGTGCTCTTATTGACTTTCATTTGTAATAAACACAGTGCACACTTTGCTAAGATGTAATTTCAGGTCTAGAACTTGGAAAAATTTTGTGGTGATTCTACTCTTACTGTATTGTATAATCATCTTTGTGGGAGGGAGGCATTACCTAGTTTTTTTAATTTATTTTATTATGTAATCTCAGGTCTAAAACTTCAAAAAACTTTATGGTGATTCTACTCTTACTGTATTGTATGATCATCTTTGAGGGAGGGGGTTTTGATTTATTTTGTTTTGTTTTTCAGGTGGGGATATGTTGGAAAGAACTGTCTCTGAAAATGGAGATCCAAGCCATAAAAATTTTGGGCTTGTCCTAGAGCAACACCTTACAAAGAGAGGTATTATGGATGATATATGTTCAGTTAATTCGTTAACCCTATAATTCTTGTGGAAAGTTTGTGTAACCTTTTCTAAATATTTCCTTATTCTTCAATTCTTATGGTTTCTGATATATCCTGCCATTCTCTCCCTCTCGTGTGTTGTTAACAACGTATGTTTCAATTGAATTAGACGGTCCTGCACCCCTTGCTACCAAGGTGTATTATTCACAAAGGAACAATCGTCTGCGTGCAGCTCTTCGTCATCTTTATTTTCAGGAATCAAGCAATGAATTATGTACAGATATTGCCAGTCCAAAGTCCTCAAATGAAACGTTAGCGTTCCAAGATTCACATCATATAGACCCTTCATTTGGACAAAAGGATGATGATAACACGGAGGTATTTGATTTTCTCTCGTATGATTTTAGGTTAGCTACTTTTATCACATCCTTCAACAAAAAGGTTATGTGGCTTGTTGGAATACTAATGCTGACTGTATACATGAAGCATGCATGATCTAACTGAAAATCAGCATGAAATTTGGGTCTCTCTTTTGTCTTTTTGTCTTTTTGTTAAAAGAAGGAAGCATATGATATTGATATCTATTGTCCAGCTATACTTTCCTGTCTTGAGTTGGTAAGTGAACAAGCTCTGACTTGCATCATTATTTCTTTCGGAAAACAGTGCCTCTTGCCAAATTTGAGCTCAGTGCGAAGTCCTAATCATATTCTTGCGAAAAGTTCAGACATTTGCATGCGTAAGGCAGAAGACCTACCGGCTAGCAACTTGCCAAATCAATTTGTTGTTAATGTTTCAAGGCCTGCAGCTCCTCATCTTGGTTTGACAAGAAGCAGCTTTCTTCCAAAGCCTTATTCTTTTGCAAGCAACACAGGTAATCTTGTAAATTCAATTTTGGTCTCATTCACTATTTCACTAACTTTTCAATGCCATTTTCTTTATCCTTAATTAAGAAGATTCAGAGACCATTAAAAGAATGTCTCTTGACTGACTATAAGAATGTCAGTGGATTCACAGCGTTAACTGAGGTGATATGACTGGCATTAAAGTGCATGCTTTGACAAAGAGACAAATAGACATGATGCATTGCTACCTTGATTGAATTTAAATGAACAACTCTCTTACACAGGATAGCATGTTTGTATCGTTGTTATTTTTCGAGTTAGATTATTGTGATGACGGGAATAAGTTCAAGTTGTACACTAGAGTGATATGTTTGCTTTTGTAGGAAATCCAATGAGAACAATTCAGCAATCAAAGGGGAGTGTTCCTGTTTATAGTAATCTTGGAGGGATTTATTTTTTTCCCCTAGGTGAAATTATAGTTCAATTAATACTCGAGGTTAGGATTTAGCATCCCTTTTTTCGAAGCTGATAAAGCAATTTTCTCAAATTGTTTATTCTATCAGTGTCATCTGCTTTGTAAATGAACTCTGATCTCTGCTATGTATAGAATGAAAGTTCGGAAATTTTAGTTCCTTGTCTGGAATTTATGCTTTTGTTGCTTGCTAATACAAGTGAGGTGTTATTTCCCCTTTTCATTAGCTATTTTTTAAGACCGACCCAGAGTTCTCAATAAACGAATTAAATAACAAATGAGAAAAGAATGCAGCAGCGGGCTCATTGCAGTAGAGGATTGCACAATATATGGTTTTACAAGGTTTCTTGATCTGTGAATATTTCCTTTGGACGTGAAACTTTCATTGGGCTGGGTGCTCTTAATTCTGGAGAGTATAGTTTTGGGCCCAATTATCATGCTCAGTTGTTAAAAGTCTGTTACTTATACTGGTGACGCTGTATCTCCAAACAGTCACTTTGAGAAAGCTGTCTGACTTGATTCTTTATCTCTTTTCATCTGATTTATTCTGAATCAAGAAACTGTTGAAGTAGTAGATTTCGGGAATTTTGTGCACAAATCACTTCACTTTCCCATGTCTGGACAGGACGAGAACCACGTATGGATTGTTAATTTAAGTAGTAGCAGACATGAGATAACCTCAATCAGAGAAAGTCAAGAATGTTATATTGTGATGCAACACTCATGCCCTTTAGAGAGCATGGGATTAAGTGGTAGATATTTTGTGAAATATCTTGCATGATGTAAACACTGCACTGCCACTGCATATGGATAAATGCAAAGGGGATGCGATCCGATTCAAACGAGGGAATCAATCAAGTATTTATTTGTTTCAAGGCTTGTGGGGGACCGGGTAAGTGGCTGAGATGTTGGTGTGAAAGCGACAGATTTGTCTCTCGTACAGGGGATGAAGATGATGTAAAAGTGGCCATCTCATAAATATCCAAAAGCAGAATCTTGGTTTGTGCCGCCTCAACAGCAAAAAAGAAAAGGAAACAAAAAAATCTGTGAAATATCTGGAATAAGTTAGCCCACAGGTGGAAGCAACTAGATCAATGTCTTGTTGGGGGGGTAAAAAATTTAAAATTGATCCGTTTCTCTTTCTATCACTGATAATGACAAGCCTGTCTTAGAGAACGTTTTTGCTTTGGCTGTCGTCTCCAATCCTTGTGGTATATGGAGGTGGTGCTCAATGTCATATTCATTTCCTATATATATATATATATATATATATAATATAAAGGTCAAAGTGTAATTTTGCCCTTAAATTATGAGGTTAAGAGCATGTGGACTAAACTTTTTTTTGGGGTGTAGTTTTGCCCTCAACATTTAGAAATGTCATAATATGCCCTCTTTTGTTAATTATTAGAAGGGAGCATGACAATTAAAGACCACTTAAAAATAGTTAATACTAAATCAGGATTATTTTAATAGATTTTCCTGTTGAATCATAGGAGGTATTGAGTGTTGAATTTGGAATTTAAGTTATAATAAGATCTTGATTTGACATTAATTTTATTATGAGGTCTTTAGTTTTCTTTCTCCTTTAAGAAAACATCGAGTTAAGTTGTGTGAGAGAAAAAGATGACCTTAAAACATGTAACAACCTTTATCTTGTAATCAATGAAAGGGGCACACCGTGACCTTTTTAAATGTTAAAAGCAAAATTGTAACTGATAAAATTTTAGAATTTATATGCTCGTGAACATATAATTTAAGAATAAAATTATCCTTTTATATATATATACATGGATATGAAATTATATGATGTATAATATTATTAGATCATACTTGAGCATTATTAAATTCAATATATTTTTTATATTCACATATCAACGCAAATTTAAAGTTTATACCTATGGTCATATCCTGTACCAGGACAATGCTTGTTGGCTTATCATATTCATATTCTGGCCGCTCATCATTATCACCCTTTTCCTATCTCTGGACTCTCATCATCCCACCAAATGATGCTTTTTTTTTAAATAATATTAAAAATGGTCATAGCTTAGAATGAAACTGAAATTACTATCACAATTACAAATCCATTTAAAATTCATAAAGTTCCGAACCCAAATTTTTATCTCACGCTTTTGCCTTTATGCTTTGTAACACTATTCGTTGGGGATTATTAGTTACTCCTCTTTTTTTTTTTTTTAAATAAGCAAAATCTAGGTGGGCTTGTTTCTGTGACTTATTAAAATCAGGATATGTTTTTAAGTTCAAAAAATATTTATAAACCATTTACTAACAAGTTTTTAATATTGTTGGCAAGATTTGATCTCCAACTTTTAATTATGGATCAAATTCTTATCAATTGGATCAATTTTTGTTGGTAATCTCGGTTTTGTTTTATGTTAAAATGATACTTCTGTCCGTCCATGTTTGAGGTTTGTTTGTTTGCGACTCTTGATTTTCAGTCTGTTTGGTGTCAAATTGGTCTTTTTAATAATAATAACTAATTATCGTTCGTCAAATACGCCGATTATATTAATCAGTACATTAAAAGTAGTTTGGATCTCTAGATTTAATGTTTATCTTTACATTGCCACTTGGATGTCTTGATTTAATTTTATAATTAAGGATAAAGAGTGCAATAATTAGTTGGGATGGATCGCCACTTTCTCAGGAAGATAACCTTGTACCCAAAGTATCCCTCAATTATTGACTTTGCGTGGGTCACAGTATTCCCAATCCCAGGCCATTTTTTGCCCAAAAGGAATTCAAAATATTAGAGGATAATTGTTTATAATTTTTTTACTTAATTATATTTATAGTCTTCGAATTTTATATAAAGTTTTAATTTAATTTTTTAATTTTATAAAGTATTTTTTTGGTCTTTAATCCAATCATCGTTAGTTTTAAATGATTATTTTTTATGTTAATTATTATTATTTAAAAAAATTAAACTTAATATGTCAACATCTGAGAATATTTTGTCAATGTTTAAAAGTTCAATATAAAAATTTATTAAAATAAAACTGACAATGCTAGAATTAAAAAAACTAAAAAAATCTTTATAAAGTTAAAAAATAATATAAAACATTGTAAAGTTAAATAACTAAGCATATACTTTAGTTTTTTTTTTTTTATAATTTCAGCGATTAGATTCAGAGTATTATGTGGATCTTTTATCTTACAAGCCAGAGAGCTAATATAATAAAGTTATGAAATTTATATTACAAAACTTTTGGATTAATGTCACGTACTGTTTGTAAGTATATATAATATACACTTAAAAAATGTTCTCTAGGTGGGAGGCGTTAATAATAATAATAACAATAATAATAATAGAGAAACGAATAAAGGTGATCACTTGTTATTCAATCAACGTGTGTTGTTATTAGCTGTAAAGCCCTTTTTTTTTTTTTGTTGATTTGTGTTAAAAGAGCTTTTGTTGCTATAGGGGCTAGTTCTCACAACAAAGTAAAAAATTAAGGTTGTAATCTTTACTAAAAAAATTATTCACATCTAATATATGATCATGTCTCATATTATTTCTAAAAAGAAGATGCTTTTAAATAAAAAAAGAAATAAATAGTACATATAAATGTCTTCCTATTAGAACAAAAAAAAAAAAACATGTTCAAGAAGGAACAGTTTGATATTAAATATAGACACCTTTTTTAATAAGAATTTTAAGTGTTTATTTATATGCTATCAAACTATGATAAAAAAAAACATTTCAATCATCATTATATTGTATACAGATTTATATAGATTTATAAAATAGGGAGAATCACAATAAAGTTTCAAAATTTAAAATTTATGATAGTTAAATCTTTGACCAAATGTTTTAATAAATAAATTATAAATATTGATTTAAATAGTTACAGACAGAAATATCAATTACAAACTAAAATTTATATTTTAAATTTAAATATTTTATTTACAATTAAAATTTCTCAATTTATGATTACATGCATCAATATTTATCACTAATTTTCAGAAAACTTTTTGGGCGCTTCAGTGTCATAAATTTCAAGTTTTGGCACTATAAAATATGCATCGAAATAAATTGAAGAATTAAAAATTTCATTATTTTTTATATATAATTGTATATATTAAAAATATCTTGAAACCGGATGTACCCTCTGCTTTTATTTCTCTACCGAACACCTGAAAGAATATATTTTGCGAATGCGTGTGTTATTTTGCTTTTGCCTCTGCATACTAATATGTAACATCAACATTAATGTTTGTGGATAAAATAAATATAGGTAGAATCGTATTTAAATATATTTTAAGAGAATAATTCACATATAGACACTAATAACAAGTTATCATTTATTATTATTTTAATAATAAATAATTTTATATTGATCCTTATTTTTAAATAATTTTTAAAAAAAATCCTTGAATATAATTCTCCTTAAAATATAATACGCAAATAAGGTCACTCATCAATGGATAACACTTAGGTGAAATTGTTGTTTTTTACTGTCACATAATTGTTTAACGAGAAGTCTTGACCTGTACTGATTAAAATAAAAGATAAAATGATAGAAAATTTCTTTAAAGTATGTAAAATGGTATTAAGGTTTTATAAAATGTGATAATTTTTTTTAAGTCTCTTGAAACTTTTTTGACATTAATTTTTTTTAATGAAATAACTATAATGCTCCCAACTTAAAATAAAAAGAGAAATGGATAGAGCGAAACTTGCTATTTACTATCTTGTTTTAATTATAACCCGAAAAAAATAGTTATTATTTGAATTAAAATAGTTACTGATATTTATAATACTTGAATTTTAATAATTAAAAATTTTGCAAAGAAACATTGAAATTACTTATCGTTTTAGTCATTGTCAGAAGAAAAAATAGTTATTACTTAAATTAAAATAATCATTGGTATTACTTAGATCAAAGTATGAGTTAAGGTATAATTTTATCGTTAAACTATTCTTGAAGGAACAATGTTGCCCCTAAATTATTCATTATAGTAATGTTAATCCTAAATTAATTAAATTGAAGCAATGTTGTCTCCTTATTTAAACGTTTATTACTGCAACTAGTGGGATTCATTTTTCATGAGTTAAGATGTAATTTTATCTCTAAACTATTTTTAAAGGAACAATATTTCCTTTACAGTTTAAAAATCAAAAAATTAAATAAAAAT